AACCCATGGATCAGTGTGAGCCGTGGCAAGCTTATTAAACAAAAGTGGTCTAGGAACAGAGTAAAAGGCTGATGAGTAGTCCAAAAAGACAGAACTAACATACTCAACACCTTTGTCTAGACTAGAAACAATATTATGATGCAAGACAGTAGCTCTATCTAAAGTACTCCTTCAGTGTTTGTAAGCAAACTGTTTTGGATCTCTGAAGGCCATCAATGAAGGCTCAATCACAAGCAGAAACAATTTCTCCATAGTCTTCAGAAAAGGGGAAGTTATAGCGATGGGTCGAAAAGTAACATCTGATCCAGAAGATGGCTTAGGCATAGGTTCAATCTTTATCTGCTTCCAGTCAGTGGGTATTATGTTTTTAGAGAACGATACATTGAAGATATCTGTAAGTGGGTGACTTAAAATATCTGCACATTTTCTTTTTCTTGTTGTTGTTGTTGTCGTCGTTCTCGTTGTGGTCGTTGGTTGGCTATCTTCATCACCTATGTCTCCTCTACATTCACCTGTAGGAATTCCCATCTTCGCTGCCTCACCTCTTCTCTTCGTCTGTAGACCTTTGCGTTTGTGCGACAAGACATTAGACACAAATCATCATGATGGGCGAAATCCAGATCTGCTTCTGGAGTGTTTTCATCGGTTCAGCCAGCGTGTGTCCATCTTTTCACAGCTCCTCACATTTTGTTGTGTGATACAGTTCAGTTCGGTTGACGCAAATCAGGAACATCAATGGTGGTTGTGTGCACCAACCTTCTCTTACTCCTGTCTCCACTTCAAACGCGTCACTGAGCTTTCCATTGTGAACTACTTGGCATCACTTAGCATCGTAAAGCATATGTCTGCTGTTGAATGATTTTGATACAGGTTTGTGGTATTCCATAATGTTAAAGCAACAACTGCCAAATTACCTGTCGGTCGGATGAAGTTGAAGTTGAGGTAGTGAGTTGACTGGCATTCTATGCTCTGTTCGATGATGATGTGTAGTGAAGTGCTGCAATTTGATCAGGTCATGATTTGTTCTTCCTGGCGCCAGCCAGGCAGCAAGCCAGCCTGTTACGGTAGTAATTATGAATCCAGAGCAACTATTAGTCTCTCCAGGATGATGCGGCCTAATAGTTTGCCTGCTCTGAGCATGATTCGGTACCACAATTTCTTTTTCTTCTTACAAAGACTTAGGTCACCTACCATTCTTTGGGAGTTTGACAAGGTAGCCCTCCTCCCAGTCCATCGGCAGATACCTCTCCTTCCTGCGTCCCTTCAAGCCTTCTGCAGTAGTGGTGTGAGCATGTCCACTGCTGTTGTCTCTGCATCTGTTTTCACTGCTTGTAGACGAATTCCATCTGGTCCTGTTGCTTTCGCGAATTTCAGCCGCTTCGTCGCGTTCAGAACTTCACTTCTACTTTTGTCGTAGATCTTGTGATCACTGATAGTTCTGTGGCTGTGTTGCTGGTGGTATTTGTGGACGAGTTGCAGCCGGTGGTGTTTGTGGTGGTGGTCGATTCAAGAGTATTTTGAAGTTGTCGGTTCATCGTTTCCTTTGTTTCTTCTCCCTCTTTTGTAACTACGCTTCATTCACTATCTCTCATTGGTTTCACTTTTGTTGATCTCTTCCCTCACAGATAAACTGTTGTCAGGTCTCTGTCTCTCCTACCTGCGGCAGCCTGTTCTGTTTCACCTGACAGTGTGTCGTGGAAGTTACTTTTGTCTTTCCACGCACTCTTCTTCACTTCTTAGCCCACTGTAGTATTTTATAGGTTGCAGTCAGTTACTCTTCTCGTTGTTCATCCCAGCAGTTCACTACACTGGTTAATCTCCTGTTTCAACATCTCCTCTTCCCCCCTTCATCGTCTTCTATGTGTACCTCGAGATCCATTCTTTGTCTTGCTTCTTCTTCTCCCTTCCTAACACGGTTATGCAGGTTTCCTTCCACGCCTCTTTCGACAAGTTCCAGTGTTCTACCACACAGGTTTCCGTAAGGATGTTCTTCAATTTCTCCCATTTTATGCAGATGGCTGACGTGACCATGTCCATTGTAGTTTTGTCATTCAGTCTCTTTTCTGTTCAGGGTGTTCAACTTGAACTGTGGTCTATCACCGTCAGCTTCTGTGAAGGATTTCTACTCGATTTGCAAGGTGGTTTCCTTGCACTACCTCCAATCCTCAAATCATTGAATGCACACAAGTCTCCAGATAGTTCTGCATTCTCGTTCACTTCATCGAGTGCTTCTCGACCCTCGATGAATGAGTTCTCTTCTTGTGTTGTCCACTTCCAGTTTGGCACTCATGTCACCCCACACATTAGAATGTATTTTGATATCGCGAACTAGGGTGGTATTTTGTCCGGTACTGATTGCACTTGTCTACAGAATTCCTCCTCCTCCTCTTGATCTGCATTATTTGTAGGTGCATAGCGTGGCATTCATTCTGTGATGTTAACTTCGCTCCCATATTTTATTTGGATCTTGCTGTTATGATGCTGAACGTGGAGGGGGAGACTGGTTCCCACCCCACGAGAGCTTTTGATGCTGTTGAGGACATCAAGATAGTCACTCGAGGACTCAGTGTGCTCGTGACTATTGTCTGGGTGACAGCATTGGATCAGATTATTGACTCTCCATTTGACAGTTTGGACAGTCCACTTGCATACCATTTGCACATTTCTCACAGAATCCTAGCACTTCTATCCCATAACAATACCTCCCCATCTCATTTGCAAATCTCAGTAGCCTTGCCAGGTTCAAACGTGGTGCGTACATTCCATGTCCACACTCTTACTTTTGCTTTCATCGAGAGCGAGTAGACACATCGACCAATTGGCTTCTCGAAGGCTTTCACTGACCGGCGTCATTTTGTCTCTCCCGATTCCGGTGATGAATAAGTTTATTTTTATTTTTTATATTTCCTTTGTGGTTTGAAGTTTGTTTAGTGACTGGATTTGTTTTGTGTGTTAGGGTTGGTAGTCGAAGGCTCAACTTCCCTGTTTTTCCGAGCTTAGGACCAGCTAGTGACTAGTGAAGTGGTTAACTAAACGAGGCTTTTCCATTGCATAACAGTATATAAAACTATGTATGCCGAGTTTAAACCTGAAAAATACTACAGAAATTTATCAATTTTGTTAAATTCTGCTTTGGCAACGTTTGTTGCTTGTATTCAATTTGTACCCTAAACAAATGTTTGGTATAGGATTTGCTGCACTTGGTCGGTATACTTTTCAGTCCCTGAGTAAGTCTTCCGCTTTTTCTGATGTAGTCATCTCTATCCATGACTAGTGCAGGTAGTGGGCATCTTTTCAGCTTGAACTATAATGATATCCTTTTCGCTCTTTAGATTCTTTGGATCTCTGTGTTCTTTACTGGTCAAATGAGTACAGTTTTGCTTCTGCCAGGTGTGAGATAGTATTACTTGCATTATTTTTCGATAGTTCTCATTGTAAAGTCCTGAAGTCTTCAGTGATGACCCCAAATAGGTAGAAAAAAAGTCTGATCCCGAAGCATCGCCTGTTTTGCAATTTAATACTTTCTGAATAAGATGTTGCTCACATTTGTTAGGAGGTTGTTCAGAGAAGTTGACTACACAGTTATTACTTCTTCCCCTTCAGGTGCCCAGGGTTATGAGGTCTCGGCAAGCTTCTTCATAAAGACTTTTCTTTTCCATATTTTGTGTCATCTGCTTGATTTTTTTCAACTGCTGTTGCCAACTTTTTGAAGTATTCTGCTATGAATATACCCTAAAGCTTTCTCTTTTGAATATCTATCATCTGTTGGTTTTTTTCGAATCCTATAATAAGCATTGGTGATCATCAGTTGTACCGTTTTTCTTCTAATACGTTTCACTGTTTTCCAGCCCATTGGAGAGTCAATCAGTGACCTGTATGTGATGCTAGTTGGCAGAACATGCTAATGTAGACGCTCATAGAGAAAATATAGTCGTTTACGTCTACGGGCCTACCTATGGGTGAAGTTTTCCCATCTCCGAACCATAAGAAGCGTTTGACGCTCTTAGAATTTTGAGATGATGGAGAATATTTGTAGCTCAGGAGGAGGATTTTGATGGTGTTGCATTCTCTGAGTTGGGTTAAATCCATCCAACTCAGAGGACATAACGCCATCATAATAGAACATATGTGGTTTGTTCAGAAAGGATCAACAGATGCACATATATTCAAGGAAAAGTTCCCTGTTACATTATGGGGTAAAACAAAATCGAAAGCGCATTGAGAAGCAGACAGTTGTCATGAAACAAAAACGCAAGGAAAGCTAACTGAATTGCTTGAAATTCTCAACAGTTTTCTCCCAACTGAGTATGAACAATTACGCAATTAGCTTTAAAAACTAATAAACTCATCAGAGCCCATAACTGCAGGTGACAAACGTCCATCTTTATCTATTGCTAAACACATACTAAAAACTAGTCACAAAAAAGCCATAAAAACAGCTGTTAAAGTAATGCATTAAAAGTGGTCAACGTGGAGTGTTAAATTTATTGAAGCTCCGGTCAAACTCCGTTTATGTGTATGAAAACAGTCCATACTCACGTTGGTAATAGAGATTTTAATTTTCTTACTAAGACTGATACGATTTAGGTTTTGTTTTCCCACCGCCCTTTCTATTCTTATATCGTCGACTGACCTAACTGACACGTTTTGTAAATTTTAATATAAATAGACAAGTTCATGTATGATTAAGTTGTTTGAAATTTGTGTCGCTAATAAATGAAATGTTTCAGATAATCTTTGTCTTCTCATTACGCCCTTTTACTACATCAAAAAGACTAATTGCTTTAACCGAGTATCAATAGAACAATATACCGATGCGGAACTTTTTTAAGTAGCATAAAACGTTTAAGCGTTGTTCCTTACTAGAATGTTTATTTGATATAGCACACAGTGACACAGTATAATATACCATGTGACGTTTCAAGTCGAATTTATTGCTCATGTTCATATCGAAGTAACCATATGAATTACCAACGGTTCTCCATTCTTTTATCTTAAAGGCAAATCAATTACTATGTACTATCAGTAACAAGGATGCCAAGATTAAGGCACTCACAGAGAATAATACAGCTAACTACAAGTTTGTTGAAGAATTAGAAATTGAGTTGAGTCGTTTACGTGAAGAACATATGAATTGTCCTGCTCAACGTGAATTAGTCAATGTTCAGACATCACCTATAATACGCGACTGGATTCAGGATGCAGAAACTGAAATTTCTGCAATCCACTTGCGTACTGATCAAACAGTTAATACTTCATTAGCAACTACAAACAATTTGAGGTTGCAAAAATACTGCGAATTATGTACAGCAGCTTTTGAAATAAAGAAGAAAGTGATTCAAGAGACTGAGTAAGTTTCTAGAGTTTACAATATTATTTGAAATTTATAATCTCTTAAAATCTACGTCATGTATTTTGTGTGAATTTTACATAACTTTATGGCGTTATCTAACATCCTACATGATGATGCATCTCCTCCCTGCCATTTCATGCCCAAGAAAAGATAAGACGAACTTTAAATCATCGCGAATCATAGTAACTCTTCCCCTGTGTTGGCTACTACTTACTTTAATGCTGTAACACTGTTATATATCGGATCTCTTAGTTTGCTTGTATTGAACAATGTTTGTGTCCAAAGTAAAATAGCTAATTGGTTTTTATAGAACGAAATAAGTTTCATCAAATTCACATTTTTACAGCTTTCAGGATATAATTTAATCCATGTCGTATAAGTTGTTAGAGTATTTATCTTCATTTTAGAAATTTTGCATAAATAGTTATGGGATCAGAACATTTTGATGTAGTCAAACAATTTATTTCAAAACATCTCACCTTTCATCTAATCATCAAATCACTGTACATAAACACCGAAAGTGAAACTATCTCAGAAGGACTTTATTCCCGAGGAACCGATCACATGATTAAAAAACAATTTAGGAGTAGGTGTGTGTTTAATCCATTCCTTGCATAAAGTTGAAGTAATATCATCAAAAAGATTCATATAGCTAGATTTTGCATCCCCAGTATGTAAAAGCTCACCCATGTAATATATGTTAGATGTTAATTCAATAATCAAAGATTCTGTGATCAATCTCTCTCTCTCTCTCCACCTAGCAATGTAGGATTTTAGAATTGTCACCCTATCCCATCACCCTAAATTGTGATTATGGGTCAGTGCATGTAGAGCGATAGCCAAGTCGTTTCTTAACTACTTATCTTAGTAGGCTTCACCATTGCATGTCTCGTTAACTTTTTGTGTCCTACGACTCTGACTGACCCAGATCGGCTTCTACGACCTACATATTTGACCTCATAATCATCACATGGTATTTGATAGATCAGATTATTTTGCTTAATTACGTCTACTGGATCTTTTAGCCTAGAGATTTTCTCTCTGAGCGAGTTTGTGAGTTTAAGTGGCATCGTAATGCCAGAAGTGTTGGGAATTCTACATAAAATCTCCGATATAACTTCTGTATACGGCAATACAACAAAGGATTTGAATTCCCTCTTAGGGATGTTGCAATCACCACCAGCATTACCATTCGTATGCTTATCATTCCTTATGAACTTTCCAGTAAATTCGAGAAGGTAGTTATTAAGAAGTAGTATCTCTATGATGTGTTTGATTTCCTTATTTGGGTTCTCTAATTTACTAGTCAAAATTCTAGCCTAATTTTGTCAAGCCTGTCTTGATAGACATAGGGTGAGATGGTGTGAACTCCAAGTGTCTATTCGAATATGGTTTCCTATGAACACCGGTATATAAGCCTCCATCTTCTCCCTTTCTGATTTTGCAGTCCAACATTGGTAATTCTCCTTTTTCGTTTTCTACTTCATAACTGATTTGGATCACATCTACTATCGAGTTAATGTGCGCGAAAAAGCTCTGAATGTTCTCTGACTTCAACATAATAAATGTGTCATCGACATATCACCACCATACTTTTGGGCTAGGTTGGAATGTTCTTCATGCTAGTTGTAACCACCTGTCCACAAATATGTCTACTACAATTGGGGATGTTTGAGATTCCATTACCACTCCTTTTGTTCGTTCGTATATTTTATCTTGAAATTTGTAAACTGTGGAAATCAACTATAATGTTATCCTTACCATAATTTCTTCAATAGAAACTTCAGCTCTCTCAGTGAGTTCACTTCTAACTGCCTCGAGTGATATATTAGTAGGTATACTTGTGTAGAAACGCCACACATCAAAACTGACGATCTTTTCTCCCTCGTCTAATTGTATATTATTTAGCCTGTATTTCAATTTGAATGAATTGATTAGCCTAGACTTTGATCGATTTTTAATAAGGCATAGTACTGTAGCTAAATATTTAGATAACTCATGTACTGGTGTCTTTCTAAAGTCAACTATTAGCTTAATAGGATAACCTGTTCTATGAACTTCATTGATGCTACACATTCTACATTCTGTTACATTAATCCGTCAACGTAGTACCTATGAAAAAACGATATTGTAAGCCTTCACCCTTTGACAGTTTAAAACAATTTTGTTTTCAACCGCTGAACAACTTATCTTTGTTTTTTTGTCACAAGTATTTTTGAATGCTTATGGTCATAGTGGCAAAGCTCTGCTCGGAGATATCAAAATGAATTCATGTACTTGTCAAAAACTGTTGTTGTATCAGCTCCATGGTGTTACAGATATGTGAAAAAAAACTGGCTGCAGTTTCCTATGAATGTGTATGTTCAGCATAAAGAATACCATGAATCGTTAACAACTTTAACGATACTGCATATTCTTGACAAATAAAAAATCTTCAACGATATGAGTCATCTGTGTAAATAAGGTCATTGTTATGTATGGAAATCCTGAGACAGTGTTAAAATGCTTAAGACTTAAATGATTCATATTATTGTGGGACAATTAAGATGAGATATAACCTGTCAAAAAGCAACGTCATTTGCTGCTGGAAAATCATCGGTCAATGAAAAATCATATAACCACAGAGTGATATTGATTTCAATTATACATCTGTTAGCTAATCCAGAATTTTAACTTAAATCTAACTGTTATCACAGGTTTACATGTATATCGAGGTCTACATGTATAAATACTTTCCATTAATGTGAGAATCTCGGGTTCATTATCTCAAACTATGACATAAGAAGAAATTTTTATCGAATTAATATTATGATTATTTTTCCCTTGGATTCCTAGTAGAACATAGGGCCTCAGTAGCACGTCTCCAGTGAACTCTGTTCTCTGAAATCTTTTGAACCTGGCTCCACGACAGCCAACAACCTCCCATTTCTTCCTCGCACGATATCCTTCATGCCACCCTCGGATGTCCAACTCGTCGCTTCCTATGGGGATTCCACTCGAGTAACTGGCCTGATGCGTGATGTCCCCAGTCGGCCTTCTCAGTGTATGCTCAATCCATCTCCACTTCCTTCATCTGCATATTAGTTGAGCGATAGGTTCTTGGTTGGTTCATTCCCACAGTTCCTTGTTGCTTATTCTTATCATTCTGATCATCCGATCTTCAGTAACCAGCCAGCGTAGGCAGTTGTTGATGAATGTCTGTAGTTTATTGGAAATCCCTTTCGTAACGCGCCAGGTCTCTCAACCATCACATAGAAGCACTGACTTGACGTTGGTGTTGAAAATCCGGATCTTGTTCCACATGCTGAGTGCAGTGCAGAAGATCTCCACACTGGTTTCAGGCTAATGAACACCTGTCTTGCTTTTCCGATTCTAACTTTGACATCATCTTCTCTGTCACCCTTAGTTGAAACAGTGCTTCCTAGATAGGTGAAGGAGGTTATTTCCTTTATGTTTCTCCCGTTTTTGGTGATTGGAGTTTGTTGTTGTCTTTAGAGTTTTTGGTTGCGTATCTTCATCACCTCTGTCTTCTCTATATTCACTTGAAGTCCCGTCTTCCTTCACTGCCTTGCCTCTTCTGACAACTTGTTAGTTTTCGCCTGTACATCTTCAAGTTTGTGTGACATCAGGCACAAGTCATCGGCGAAATCCAAGTCTTCTAGGTTCTTTTCCGCAGTCCAGCGTATCCTCCACTTCTCGCTCCACGCTGTTTGCTGCATGATCTGGTCGACCACAATCAGGAAGATCGTCGGTGATAGTAGGTGGCAGCCTTGACTGATTCCTTCGTGTCTTCACTTCAAAAGCATCACTGAGCTTCTCATTGTGAATTACTTGGCTGGCATGTGGCATCTTCATACAGTTGTTGAATGAGGCGGATAAAGGTTTGCGGTACTCCGTAGTATTGAAGCAGTTTCCAAATTGCCTCTCGGTCGACGTTGTCAAAGGCCTTCTCAAAGTCGATGAAGTTGAGGTAGAGAGCTGATTGCCATTCTATGCTCTGTTCTATGATGATGCGTAGTGTGGCGTTGCAATTTGTTCTGCACATGATTTGTCCTTCCTGAATCCAGCCAGCCTGTTCCGGTCGTAGTTTTGAATCCAGTGCATCCTTTAGCCTCTCCAGGATGATGCGGCTTAATATTTTGCTTGCTCTGGGTGGACAGGAGAGTGATTCCGCTCCAGTTCTTGCAAACATTGAGGTCTCCATTATTCGGCAGTTTGACAAGGTAGCCCTTCTTCCAATCAGTGGACAGGTACTTCTTCTTCCTTCCACACCTTCTGCAATAGTGGTGTGGTGTGAGCATGTCCGCCGTTGTCTCTGCATCTGTTCTCAGTGCTTCTGGCGGTATTCCATTTGGTCCTACTGCTTGCCCACATTTCAGTAACTTTATGGCGCTTAGGACTTCGACTTTTGTTGGAGGATTTGTGTTCACTTGTAGTTCAGCAGCTGTAGATGCTATTTCTGGACGAAGTGCAGGTGGTGGTTGATTCAAGAGCTTTTTGAAGTGGTCGGCCCATTGTTTCCTTTGTTTCTCTTCTTTCATAATTTAATTCCCGTCATCATCTTTTATTTAATTTGTCTGTGTTGATCTCTTCCACCTCAGATAGTAATCTAGTTATTTGATACAATGTTGTCAGGTCTCAGTTTCTTCTACCTACAGCCTGTTCTGCTTCACTTGCCAGTGTGTCGTAGTAGTGTCTTTCGTCTTTCCGTGCACTCTTCTTTACTTCTTTGTCCAGTGTTTTATACATTGTACTCAGTTTGTCTTCTCGTTGAGCATGCTTGCATTGGTTTATCTTCTGCTTCACCATCCTCATCTCCCTGCTCTATCAGCTTCCAGGTATCCATTGAGATGCATTCCTTATCTTCTTTCTTCTTCCTTCCTAATACAGCTGTGCAGGTTTCTTACCACATAGCTTTCAAAGACTTCCAGTGTTCTTCGACACAGGTCTCTTCAGGGATGTTGCTCGATATCTCCCATTTTGTCTTGATGGCTGACTGACGTGAAGATCTCCTTTGTAGTTTCTTCCTTCAGTTTCCGAGTGTTGTACTTGAACTGTGGTCTATCACCAGCTTCCTTGAAGGTTGCCAACTTGATTTGGAAGGCTGGTTGCTTGCACTAGATGGTGAGTGGTCTGAACCTACATCTGCTCCTCTTCTTGACCTTGTGTCAAGTAGACTGCGTCTCCATTTTCTTGAGATTGAGATGAGGTCGATTTGATGTTTAGTGTGTCAGGTGTCTGGTGAAATCCACGTCGCTTTGTGGATATCCTTGTGCTTGAACACAATGCCTAGCTTACAATCACCAAATCGTTGAATGCACAGAATTCTGCAAACAATTCTCCTTTCTCGTTCATCACCTCACCGAGCGCTTCTCGACTCATGGTTTGTTCTCTTCCTTTGTTGTCCCCCCCCCACTTTGGCATTCATGTCGCTCCACCCATTAGAATTTTGATGTTGCCAACTGGGGTGAGGTCTTGTCCAGTGTTGATTGAAGTTGTTTGTAGAATTCCTCCTTTTTCTCTTGCCCTGTATTATTTGTAGGTGCATTGCGTAGCAATGTATGATTGTGACCTTCCTTCCTTTTGAGTTGAATCTTGCTGTCATGATCCTTATGCTGGAGGAGATTGGTTCCCACTGTATGAGAGCCGTCGGTGCTCTTGGAGACATCATGACAGCCATTTGAAATCTCAATGTGCTCATGGTTGTCGTCTGGGTGACAATATCGGAGTAGATTATTGATTCTCCAGTTGACAGTTTGGAGAGTCCACTCCCATTCCATCTGCTTTCTCAAATTTCAAGCACTTAAGTGTGATACCTCTTCATCTCCTTTGCAATCTGGGCAGCCTTGGTAGGTTCAGACATCATACGGACATTCCACGTCCCCACGTTTATTTTCGCTTTCATCTAGGGAGAGAAGACACATCGGCCAATTGGATTCCCGAAGGTAGGCTTTCACCAACTGGCGTCATTTCGCCTCCCTGATTCCAGCGAGGAATAATTTTGTCTTCATTTTTTATATTTCGTTTGTGCTTTTTGAAGTTTGTTTAGCGGTTAGATTTGTTTTACGGGGTAGGGTTGCTAGCTTTATGTCCAACCTTCCCTCTTTACCCGTGTTTAGGACCGGCTAGTAATTAGTGAAGTAGTGTAGTGCAATGCAGTGCAGTAGATCTTTACAGTGATTTCAGATTGATGAAGGAAAACCTGTCTGGTTGTCTTTCTGATCCTGGCTTTCACTCCTCATCTTTGCCACCACCACCACCACTGCCCGTAACTGACACGATGATGCCTAGGTTAGTAGATGAGAGAGACAACTTCTTCAGATTTCTCCCATCCACGGTGATTCATGCTTCTTCTTGTTCTTGTTGATGTTGCTGTTGTCGTCGTTCTTGTTGTGGTTGTTTGTTGGCTATCTTCATCACCTATGCTTATCTACATTCACCTGTAGGAAGTCCCGTCTTCGCTGCCTCACCTCTTCTCTCAACTTGTCACTCTTCGTCTGTAGATCTTCGCGTTTGTGTGACAAGACATTAGACACAAATCATCATCATCATGATGGGCGAAATCCAGATCTGCTTCTGGAGTGTTTTCATCGGTGCAGCCAGCGTATGCCCATCTTTTCACAGCTCCCCACATTTTGTTGTGTGATACAGTTCAGTTTGGTCGACCAAAATCAGGAAGATCAATGGTGGTTGTGTGCACCAACCTTCTCTTACTCCTGTCTTCACTTCAAACGCGTCACTGAGCTTTCCATTGTGAACTACTTGGCATCACTTAGAGTCGTAAAGCATATGTCTGCTGTTGAATGATTTTGATACAGGTTTGTGGTATTCCATAGTGTTGAAGCAACAACTGCCAAATTACTTGTCGGTCGACGCTGTCGATGGCCTTTCAAAATGGATGAAGTTGAGGTAGTGAGTTGACTGGCATTCTATGCTCTGTTCTATCATGATGCTTAGTGTAGCGCTGCAATTTGATCAGGTCATGATTTGTTCTTCCTGGCGCCAGCCAGGCAGCAAGCCAGCCTGTTACGGCAGTAGTTATGAATCCACAGCAACTATTCATTTCTCCAAGATGATGCGGCCTAATAGTTTGCTTGCTCTGAGCATGATTCGGCACCACAATTTCTTTTTCTTCTTACAAAGACTTAGGTCACCTACCATTCTTTGGGAGTTTGACAAGGTAGCCCTCCTCCCAGTCCATCGGCAGATACCTCTCCTTCCTGCCTTCCCTTCAAACCTTCCGCAGTAGTGGTGTGAGCATGTCCACTGCTGTTGTCTCTGCATCTGTTTTCACTGCTTGTAGACGAATTCCATCTGGTCCTGTTGCTTTCCCGAATTTCAGCAGTTTCGTCGCGTTTCAGAACTTCATTTCTACTTTTGTCGGGGGTCTTGTGATCACTGGTAGTTCTGTGGCTGGATTGCTGGTGGTATTTGTAGACGAGTTGCAGCTGGTTGTGGTGGTTGTCGTGGTGGTCGATTCAAGAGTATTTTGAAGTTGTCGGTTCATCGTTTCCTTTGTTTCTTCTCCCTCTTTTGTAACTACGCTTCATTCACTATCTCTTATTGGTTTCACTTTTGTTGATCTCTTCCCTCACAGATAAACTGTTGTCAGGTCTCTGTCTCTCCTACCTGCGGCAGCCTGTTCTGTTTCACCTGACAGTGTGTCGTGGAAGTTACTTTTGTCTTTCCACGCACTCTTCTTCACTCCCTTGTCCAGTGTAGTATTTTATAGGTTGCAGTCAGTTACTCTTCTCGTTGTTCATCCCAGCAGTTCACTACACTGGTTAATCTCCTGTTTCAACATCTCCTCTTCCCCCCTTCATCGTCTTCTATGTGTACCTCGAGATCCATTCTTTGTCTTGCTTCTTCTTCTCCCTTCCTAACACGGTTATGCAGGTTTCCTTCCACGCCTCTTTCGACAAGTTCCAGTGTTCTACCACACAGGTTTCCGTAAGGATGTTCTTCAATTTCTCCCATTTTATGCAGATGGCTGACGTGACCATGTCCATTGTAGTTTTGTCATTCAGTCTCTTTTCTGTTCAGGGTGTTCAACTTGAACTGTGGTCTATCACCGTCAGCTTCTGTGAAGGATTTCTACTCGATTTGCAAGGTGGTTTCCTTGCACTACCTCCAATCCTCAAATCATTGAATGCACACAAGTCTCCAGATAGTTCTGCATTCTCGTTCACTTCATCGAGTGCTTCTCGACCCTCGATGAATGAGTTCTCTTCTTGTGTTGTCCACTTCCAGTTTGGCACTCATGTCACCCCACACATTAGAATGTATTTTGATATCGCGAACTAGGGTGGTATTTTGTCCGGTACTGATTGCACTTGTCTACAGAATTCCTCCTCCTCCTCTTGATCTGCATTATTTGTAGGTGCATAGCGTGGCATTCATTCTGTGATGTTAACTTCGCTCCCATATTTTATTTGGATCTTGCTGTTATGATGCTGAACGTGGAGGGGGAGACTGGTTCCCACCCCACGAGAGCTTTTGATGCTGTTGAGGACATCAAGATAGTCACTCGAGAACTCAGTGTGCTCGTGACTATTGTCTGGGTGACAGCATTGGATCAGATTATCGACTCTCCACTTGACAGTTTGGACAGTCCACTTGCATACCATTTGCACATTTCTCACAGAATCCTAGCACTTCTATCCCATAACAATACCTCCCCATCTCATTTGCAAATCTCAGTAGCCTTGCCAGGTTCAAACGTGGTGCGTACATTCCATGTCCACACTCTTACTTTTGCTTTCATCTAGAGCGAGTAGACAGATCGACCAATTGGCTTCTCGAGGGCTTTCACTGACCGGCGTCATTTCGTCTCTCCCGATTCCGGTGATGAATAAGTTTATTTTAATTTTTTATATTTCCTTTGTGGTTTGAAGTTTGTTTAGTGACTGGATTTGTTTTGTGTGTTAGGGTTGGTAGTCGAAGGCTCAACTTCCCTGTTTTTCCGGGCTTAGGATCAGCTAGTGACTAGGGAACTTGTTAACTGGGTGAGCTTATTGGATAATGTTTACCGAGCATTTTCGAGATAACATGTTTGAGCATGAGCATTTTCGATGTCAGGTAATCATGTAGGGTGGTAACAGAATTTATCTGGATATCTGTATGTAATGGTCATTTCAACTATCTGTTGTGCATCTCCTCTTGAATATGGTAGGCAAGTCATAAGGTTGTGTAGATACTGATCTGAACCTGATCATATCTTATCTTGCTGATACGACTATGAACATATGTCAGGACTTTAGTTATCAGTGTTTATATGCACAATTAGACATGAAAGTATATATGTCAAAAATCTGGACAACATTTGTTTTTTACTGAAACGCAGCTTCCTTTTTTACACTGTGTTTCTTTATATCTTTGGTAAAACCAAACTAAAATTTGCATAAATTCAGAAATACAATTTTGTGGAAAAATAATTTTTTTCGTTGGGCATATTCTTTGTTAATTACGACGGTTACATTATACGTAGTCATTTTTTGTGAATAATTATCTTTTTCGTTCGATCAGGATAGTTTTCTCGTCATATATGTTATTTGTATATCGCTAAAAGCATATCAGAGAAGAAACCAGATCATGTATATCTCTACTTACATATGACATGTAGTCTTTTTTAAGACTACATAGAAGAATGTAAAGTTCAATATATTGAGAGAAACAAAAAAGTACAAAACAAGGCATATTTAAATTTTTATTTTATGCAGGCAAAAATATTTCAAATCACTTTCAAAAAAGTCTAAGCAAGTATGTTCATTGTTCCAACATTTAGAATGTGCAAGTAATAATTCTTGGTATGTCCTCTTATTTGTTACAAAAGATATTCACCTGAAAATAACTGTTGCAATAAACTATTTCAGACGAAAAAATCTGTTTTCGAAAATGATTATAAGATGTTTCATTTTCGTCTACTTAAATCTTGTATGTTATTTATTCTTTCTTTTTTATAATTATTATTATTAGTTGTAATTGTTCCTTGTAGATGAGGAGCAGAACGAACATGCCCCCAGTCAGTCTGTATGTAATCACTATATAGGTAAGTTTTATATGATCCCAGAGTGTTTAAAAAACCAAAAGGAGAATTTTTTGAAGGTATCACAAAATATTCTGCTGAAGAAGCTTAGGTACTCGACGAAACGCTTAGAAAAATCTTTGTTTTGATTCTCGAAACACTTTGAGATTATATCGAAACTTACCTCTATAATGATTAAACCAGAGTAGAATCTCAACCTCTTTCAATACACACGTTAAGTCTGTATGTAACTGGTTATCATTCTTTAAAAAAGCTTTGACAAAACGAAATTATTTGTTAGCACTAGGAATAAACTAACTTTACTTCAATTACTTAAACCTGCTTTTTCATTCACTTTGAGTTTCAGTGTCATAAAAAGAGGTTTAATAATAATAATACCTTATTCTACCGTCAAAACAAAATAAAATGTATGCTGAAGATGAGTCAGTTGATAGACTAAAGCTAAGAAGCCAACGATGTAGAGTTGTTACACACTGAAATGTTTAAATGACACTGAACTACCCAAGTTTATTACCATTCATCGAAACAATGTAAATCCTAGAAACAGAAAGTATATAGATTACCACGTAATTTTGCAACTGCCTATTGGTTTCCGCTTCATCTCGTCGTAATAGTCTTACAAACATCAAGTACTCCCGCATGTATATAATAAAAGCTGTTTCATCAATCGGTTAACTTAGGTGCCGCATCGATATCACGGTTGCGGCGAAACTTTAAGTTCCTAGTTTCCATTGCAAAATAGGCCATGAGTGAACATTGCTGAGGAGTATCACATTAAGGCAAAACAGCTGTCCAGTCCTTCCAGATTTTTGGTAGTTTTCCAAATGATGTCAGTTCATGATGAATGCTGCCCTCAAATCAAAATTTTTCCCACAAACCGTATTCTTGGTGACGTAGATTTTGGTGACTTGGAAGATAAGCACATACACCAAAACAAAACACTTATGATCTTTGCATCTTAGTGGTTTCGAAAAGTAAACAATTGCACCAGCAATTTTACTGACAAATATTTTATTAAATTTCTAGATTGAAACATCCTGTAGCGTTAATAAGTTTTCACTTAAGGTTTGATGAAGATGTAACACGCTACAGTTTAGTTGACTCAAGCAGGTTGGTAGATGCAGGGAATAACAACACAACAGGCAACCATGAAAAGACAATAACGAACATAAAGGTGAGAATTTTACTCCGATCAATTTAAAAGAAGACGGTGCACAAAATCACAACAATGTATAAAGCCTCAGCTGTTACAAATGATATTTCCCTTTTATTTGTTGTTCAGCCAAGAACAGTGTTTCACATCATGTATGTTGTAACATGAAAGATACTAATCTGTTGTTGTTTGATGTTTGATGTTTTACTGGTCATTTTGCAATGAAGCCGTCCATCAGGAATCGTTGAATGTTTCAGTGCGAATTTCTGATAATGTTGACCATCAGCTGGACTGATTTCACCACTCAAAAGGAGGCAGGAGAGAAGATGATTATCTTTTCGACGACTCGTTTTCACAGCTGTGCATTCATAAACGAATAAGCAAAATGATGAAGTGTTACAGAAAATTTTCCAGCCAAGGGTCAGACTTAGTTGACAGATGTATGGAGAAGACGATTTTTCAATAATTAACAAAAGAAATGATCACGGTACTTTTTGTATAATGCACTAAAACGTGAGAATTGGAATCTGGTAAAAAACAATTTAATGAATACATAAACAAATGTGTAAATAAATAAATAAAATACAAAGGTATAACATTAACAGAGGAGCAAAGTGTCTGCTTAAGACTACTGTGAAGAAACTGTTTGCACATGTTTACTTTGATTACACAATTGAGATCTAAGGCTGTGGATCACTATAGCTTCAGCTGTATATATGTTTTTCATTACAGTCAGATGTTCAGGGTTTACGAGATATTCTGTGGTGAAACTGCAGATGGCTTTGTGCTCACTCTACAACAACCTAGACAGATACTGTTCTTGAGCGCATTTTTCAAGCCAACATATAGTACAGTCAACCCACTCAGCTCCAAAAGAGTACATGAACCTGCGAATAAACACTGACTAAACCCAATGCACTACCTAGTCTTTCACACACTGAAAAAATAAGTGGTGACATGATAATACAATACAATGGTTTTCAGCATAGAATATCCTACACAGGGATTTGACAAGTGCTGATGAAGGATGGCGGCGGTAACATTAGCCTTGAATCTGTGGTTAACTAGAAGTATTTTCTTCTCAGCTGACTGAATCTTCTCCTAAGTCTTTTTTATCTCCACATTTTTCTCTATAAACCCAGATTGATAGCGATTCTGTAACATTATTTCTGGCAGGGCTAATAATTCCTCAATAAATGTATCATCATGGCATTTCTTTCAAATTCTTGAGGAGAGTGACCGAGATCACAAGGTTCCCTTTTTTAATTAAAGATACCCAACTCTGCTAGTTGATCATTTAGAAAGGACAAGATATTCAGCTGACAGACTATTTTCAACGAATTCAAGCTGTTCATTTATATGTATGTATATATGATATTCGAAAAATTATATCTCCTGAAGAAAACTAAACACTATATGATGGTAATAATAACAATAAAATGGATGATGACAGGTATTTGTGATTATGATAACAGCCGAGGTATGAATGATAACATAGTAGATTACGTAACGTATGGAATGGTTCATGGAAGGTTTGTAACTTAGAAAGGGGTGAAAAAAATTGGTGAAAGTAGTAAATCAATGGGGCATTATGTAATACAATTAGACAAGTTGGTCAAGATGAAATCAATATTTTCTAAAAAAAATCAAGTTTGTCATTTGTCTGTTCCTCATTGGCATCCTGCAAATGGATCTTTCAGTAGAATTATCAGCTCTCTTTCGAGGTTTGATGTCGAGAAAAAGAAACGTCAAGTTCGACCTAACTTCCAGTAGGAGTTTATCTGAAAAGTGGTTGTAGTTGAAAAGCCTATCGATTAATTCTGAGCTTTGACCGGAAACTTGTCTAGAACACTGAATTATTTTACTTGTATATTTCCAAAATTACAAGTTGGAAAATAACTTGACGAAAGGATGAGTATCATCATTACTTAGACATAGACCATCTATCTTAGAGCATAGGAGAAAATGCTGGCACTCCAGTGTCCCATGAGTACATGTAACACAGAGGGTCAGCCATTAGCCCGAATAGCTCAGCGCTAAAGTCTCTGACTACTACAATGGGTGACGCCGGTTCGAATCCAAGTCGGGACATGAGTTCTGTTGAAGTTGCAGAAGCGCCTTGCTGAAAAGTGCCTAAAAGCATGAAACCTAGGCCCAGGGTCTCCTGCCGATTGCCTCCAGCCAACTAACATCATCTAGTGATAGATAGTAGGCATTTTTTTTCATTAATCATAAATGCAGTTATGAATACCAATTTTAATCAAACAAAGTGAAAACAGAAGGTATGAAAAAAATCTGATGGAAAGATAATTCAGCTCACTAACCGACTGCGCCTCTCATTTTTTGTTAATATTGCCCGAATAATAGAAAAACTTAATGAATTTCTGCTAAGTTATTAAGCAGAATTATGTTCAGCTGAATGTATGAACTGATATTACAAACTGGTTCATTCCGCTTCTGAAATACTATATGCAGTTGATACAGATATTTCAAAAAATATTTTAGCAGTCCTTCCTTTGTTTTCCTTTGTCATAACATCATTGAAAACATAATCATGTGTTGAATAATATATTTCCCTGTGTAAATTATTATTAAGCATCTAACCCAATTTAACCTAAATACCGTTATGTTATATGCAATACACCCCGATTATTGTAAGCTTGGAGTTCAGTGTTTGAAAATGCTGCTCAATAGACTGAAAATAGGGAAAAATTCAGCAAACAGCAACATGGAGCTCAAAGTTAAAGAAACATATCCCGAAGGAGACCCCAAAGCGATTCTTTTGAAATACAAGGATTGATCCACGATTGTTTCTTGGCTCAGCACTTACAGGAAACAACGTTTTTGTTGCTAACTTTTGTCGAAGAGTATAGTGATTAGCAAGAAGTAAGTGTTCAGTATTTTATTGGTTAATGAAAGTGAACTTCTGTATACAGATTATAATTTCCCGTTTTTCGTTTCTACTTGATTTTAATCCGTGAACGATAAATGACGTTTAATGCGCAAGAAACGGCTTTAGTTACACGGTAGTTTAATGGTAATGCTCTTGTGCTTTTTACAGTGAATCCGGAATTTGAGTCTCAGTGTGGGGATTATCATTTAATTAGGTGTAGGGACATTCAGCTAACAAGTTTCAAAAGAAGTGATAGAGGTAGTCTTCAATTCCATACTGGTTATCACTGACGAAATAATGTTAGCATGGTGGACAAAACTGAAAGGTATCTACGAGTATTTTTAAATTTTCTTTCACCAACTGGAAGGTAGAAATTTATAGTACTTGAAATTCCTTTTAACTTTGGCTAAAATTTATTTTTAAAGTAACTTCTGTCTTTACCTGCTTTTGTGGACAAATACTTCGGTGAAACTCATGGAATATATGGGGTCTGGTGAAAATAAAATGTAGCTACGCTTCCCTCTGTCAGAAGTCTTCTTGCTGTACTGTTCTTTAGTTCAGTCATTCTCCCGCATAAATATATGTAATGTGTAGTGATGATGCAATGAAGAACAAAAACCTGGTTCACAATAGGATTAAAATTAAATATCTCCAGGTCTTGACAATCACTATACAGTTATTAGTTTGACTTCTTTCACCAAGAGTTCGTCTGACATTTGTTTCAGTACATGATACGTAAATCTCCGGATATTGTCAACATACTGGCTGCTTTGTAATATTTGGTTGTCCCAATTCAAACCAAGCTAAATAACGCAGATGAAGCAGTTGGTTTATAGCTTCTGATACTACCTGACGTATGAATTTACAATGCAAGGATCAAAAATATAATTATGTTCGAGTCCTAAAA